ACATAGAAAACATGCCGTAATGTACCCTGAGTGTAAACCTTAGCCGCATTCATTGTGAAGCGTGCAAGCGATTTGCAAAGATTAATATAAAGGTTAATCAAATTAGGGATATAAGTTACGAGAAAAGATTGGTGAATCGCGCAAACATGAAGCATTGACGTTGCTCTTGGGGAATATTTCCATTGAAAACCAAACTCGGCTACTGCGTCTTCAGCAGTTCGGATTTAGGAAAATCAAAATGACTGCTGTGTTCATTATTACACAAAAGAACAGAAAACCACAATCACTTAGACACCATTCTGCTCCAGCGTATCAACAATTGTGGACTAGGATGACAGTTCGCTCAGGACGGGTCTGTGTTGAAATACTGCTGTCAATCACACACATGACCAGCGTCAGCCAATAGTGAGCCTATGTGTGACATAGCTCTACGCTATCACACTATGTTAACCCTTATGTGCTGTTGTGGCTTTTTTCAGCCACTAAGGGGTATTTTTTAGTCTTAATTTGGCCGTAACTTTTTCTTTGTTTCAGCAAATGGAATGATTTTTGGTGACAAATCTTATTTTGACACATATTTTGGGAAAATGCTTTGAAATTTTTCAAAAACTCAACAGTACACTCTGGGCAAATTCACTACCCTTTCGTTATGTTCGTGGCTGAAAAAAGCCACTACTTTAAACTGCTGTAAAAATGTATCAGATAAATATTTTTTTCAAATTTTTTTGCATAAATCTATTAACCGACCTCAGTCCTGATCAAAACTACTAAATGTTTAAAAAAATTTCAGGATTTTAACTCTTTAATTGCCAAATTTATAAATGATGTCACTGATTTGGGAAAAAAAACACAGAAAATGACTTATTTTCAATATAAAATATGATTGTGGACTGGATTTTTTTTCACCTTTTATCACAGTCTTGGACATGTCAAAGATTAGAAACAACATTGGTTTTGATGCATTGTTAGTTTTTGTGTAGCATCAGATTTTAACTTTTTCTCCCTCATTTACTGTTCGTGGCTGTTTTTGCCCCATTGACTTCCATTATAACCACATTTTTTGATTGCAAAGCCATGACACCATAAAATCATGCATTTTTGATTGTTGATGGTTTTCCCTGTTGGGAAGAGGTAAAATTTGTAATTTTTACTGTTGATAACCAGGTGGAACCATTTAACCCTTTAGACAGGCCTGTGCAAAAAAAAGCTTAGTTTCTGGCTTTTACATGCAGTTATATGGAGTATAATAGCATATTACAGTGTGTATATGTGTGTGTGGGTGTGCGTGAGTGTGTGAGAGAGTGTGAGAACTCACCTTGATGCGTCCGAGAAAATAAAAATATACACTTCAGCTCTCAAAACTACATGGAGTAAACAAAAACAAAGTAAGTGTATTTATGCATCTGCTGCCTTTTGATGGTGAGAAATGCAGACTAAACAAAAACAAAGCAAGTGGATATAAACGCTTGTCATTTGATGGTGAGAAGAGCAGCAAGCAACATGAGAGAGGGCTTGACTTGTAGTGAAGTTTTAGAGATGATTATGCAGTCTGACCCCTCCAGCGAGCTGCAGGAGGTATTGTCTTCTCACTCTGACCGCAGACTCAGGACAGTCAGATCCTGGTTTGGATGTGGCACCCTCATCATCATCTCAAGCTTCCACTGAAGGCGAGGAGGATTCAGATGATCCTGGATCTGGATGAACTGGGAGAATCTTGAGAGGGACATGGTGGCTCTGAAAATCGCATGACCACTGCGATCATCCCACAGGCAACGTGTGGACTCCCCTCTGGATCTGTAGACGCTGGCCAAAATCAGTAGCCCCATGTAGGCACAGAGATCTGTGGAGTCCACCCCAGTCCAGTTTCTCATTGTGCGGTGCCCATGGAGGTTGGTCATGCTGACAATGAGGTCAGTCGTCTCCTCCATAAAAAACAGATTGAACACAGAATCCATGTTCTGAACCATTGCGATAGCATTGCGTGTCGGCCCTCGACTCACGCCTCTTGCAGGCTGAAGAAAGGGAATTGTCTCCGCATTGGTGGAAAACCATACTTCACCATTTCTCCCAATCCACCCAGATCCAGGATCCACAGAATCCTCCTGCTTTCAGTGGAAGCTAGAGCTCACTGAAGGCGAGGAGGATTCAGAGGATCCTGGATCTGTGGACTCCACAGATCTCTGTGCATGGGGCTACTGATTTTGGCCAGCGTCTACAGATCCAGAGGGGAGTCCACACGTTGCCTGTGGGATGATCGCAGTGGTCATGTGATTTTTAGAACCACCATGTCCCTCTCAAGATTCTCCCAGTCCATCCAGATCCAGGATCATCTGAATCCTCCTCGCCTTCAGTGGAAGCTTGAGATGATGATGAGGGTGCCACATCCAAACCAGGATCTGACTGTCCTGAGTCTGCGGTCAGAGTGAGAAGACAATACCTCCTGCAGCTCGCTGGAGGGGTCAGACTGCATAATCATCTCTAAAACTTCACTACAAGTCAAGCCCTCTCTCATGTTGCTTGCTGCTCTTCTCACCATCAAATGACAAGCGTTTATATCCACTTGCTTTGTTTTTGTTTAGTCTGCATTTCTCACCATCAAAAGGCAGCAGATGCATAAATACACTTACTTTGTTTTTGTTTACTCCATGTAGTTTTGAGAGCTGAAGTGTATATTTTTATTTTCTCGGACGCATCAAGGTGAGTTCTCACACTCTCTCACACACTCACGCACACCCACACACACATATACACACTGTAATATGCTATTATACTCCATATAACTGCATGTAAAAGCCAGAAACTAAGCTTTTTTTTTGCACAGGCCTGTCTAAAGGGTTAAATGGTTCCACCTGGTTATCAACAGTAAAAATTACAAATTTTACCTCTTCCCAACAGGGAAAACCATCAACAATCAAAAATGCATGATTTTATGGTGTCATGGCTTTGCAATCAAAAAATGTGGTTATAATGGAAGTCAATGGGGCAAAAACAGCCACGAACAGTAAATGAGGGAGAAAAAGTTAAAATCTGATGCTACACAAAAACTAACAATGCATCAAAACCAATGTTGTTTCTAATCTTTGACATGTCCAAGACTGTGATAAAAGGTAAAAAAAAATCCAGTCCACAATCATATTTTATATTGAAAATAAGTCATTTTGTGTTTTTTTCCCCCCAAATCAGTGACATCATTTATGAATTTGGCAATTAAAGAGTTAAAATCCTGAATTTTTAAAAAAAAATTAGTAGTTTTGATCAGGACTGAGGTCGGTTAATAGATTTATGCAAAAAAATTTGAAAAAAATATTTATCTGATACATTTTTACAGCAGTTTAAAGTAGTGGCTTTTTTCAGCCACGAACATAACGAAAGGGTAGTGAATTTGAACAATGCACAAGGGTTAACTGACTAGAGGCCCAAAGAGAAGGAAGTGAATAATTGAAATAAAGTTGTTATTTTTGTTTGTTTTTGCGCACAAAAAGTATTCTCGTCGCTTGATAAAGTTGAGATTGAGCCACTGAATTTACTTGGACTTAGGGATGTAAGTTACGATTCAGTCAACTCACGATGCAATACGATTCACGATACCGGTTTCACGATACGATTTTCTCACGATTTTTTTAACAAATTAGAATTAAGACAAATTATAAATGAAAAAGTGTCTCTTTTATTATTTGTCAGACAAAATGCTGCACATTTCTGTTTCATTTTAAAATATATTTAAATAATAAAACTACATTGAAAAAAAATATTCCCTTCAAGGTTGTTTCTGTCTGTCTGATCAAGAGGCTGGACACTGGTCACCTTTGCACACTAAACAAAAGACTGTAAAATTAGTAGGCCAACCACATTGACGGGCGTTTTACATTGCAATAAAGCAAAGATTTTAATTTTGTCATAATTTGTATCATTAAACTAGAAAGAGTTAAAAAAGAGAACACGTTTAGCAAAATATGCGATAACCATCAACAAATTATTTAAAAAAGAGTAAAATAAATACGACACATTGTTGCCATGGAAACACTGACGCACCTTGTGATCTCCGTACAGTAGCTCTCACACACTTGTGGTATTAATGACTTTTACGTAAAAATGGAGGTGATGTGCTTCTCACGGTGGTGATTATTATTCGTCTACGAAGAGTCAAAATGCCGCCACAGCTCCGATTTGAATGAGTCAACATCTACGCTTGCCGTCGCCATGTGTTTTACAGCGCGTGCACAAAGTCTATGGCACACACGCGGTGCGAGTGGAGCAAACCAAGCTTTTCGTTTTCAGTTCATTACTATGAGTGCTCACACAAGCTCAAGTACCTTAGCAATGAAGTGAAAACACTCGCTAGGTTCACGCCAGTGTGTACTCGCTGCTATTGTGCCTGTAAAGCGAGGTTCACAGCTTCACAGGGCTATTCAGTAAACGTACCCTGCTGTTTAAAATGTGAATCGCGATTCATTTAACATTTCAACTGACTTGAATTGTCACACATTTTTATCGATTTTCAACTGGTTGCGAGTGAATCGTTACATCCCTATTTGGACTGTTTTAACGATGTCTTTAATTACTTTTCGAGGCCGGCAAGTTTCAGTTCCTCAAGAAGCCTATGGACTAGTATGCAGGAGTGATCCAGCTCTCAGATTTCATCAAAAATATCTTTATTTGTGTTCCAAGTTGAACGAAGGTCTTAAGGGGTTGGAACAACATGAGGGTGAGTAAATACTGACAGAATTTAAATTTTTGGGTCAACTAACCCTTTAAGGCAGGTGTTGTGTCTTTGCCTTTTTATAAAGACAGAGGACAATAAAGAAGAGTCATAGACATGAATTCAGGAACGGAACACTTGCATGTCTTGCTCACATTCATATCACTTTGTTTGCCGCACATCCCCACGTCATCATCACATGACTTCATTCAACACTTATGTCTTAAAGTGACAACGCTTTATACATAACACTCCTTCCCCTCCCCCAAAGCAGAATGTCATTTTTTTTCTTTCTTATTCACTACAAGTCAAGTCTTTTAGGTGGGCGTCTTTCCCTAATGGGATAACGGCGTTCTGCATTTGACATGGACTCCGAAACAGATATGTTGGATCCTGAGTCTGGTTGTTTTTCCAAGTTCTGCTTCTGCGGACTGTTTTCAGGCTCGGGTGGCGCAGGTCCTTTTTCTGGTGTAAGAGGTGTATCCACGGTCACTTCTGGAACCATTGGATAGTCCGAACAAACAGTAGGTGTGACAACAGCAGACTCTACCTCAGTATCAGATCCCAGCAAAAGCTGATCCAAGTGTCTTTTCCAGATAAGCTTATCAGATGTTAGTACAGTATATGACACTGGGCCAGTTTGAGCTATCACTGTCGCTGGTACCCACTTTGATCCTGAAGTATAGTTGCGTGCCAGAACATTTTGTCCAGGATGGAACAGTCTGCTTTTAGCCTTCATGTTTCTTCTATGAAACTGCTTTTGTTGCTGACGCGCTACCACCTCTTTGACAGTAGAAGGTTTCAGTAAGTCAAATCCAGAGCGCAGTGAACGCTTCAACATCAGAGAAGCTGGAGAAACCTTTGTTGTCCCATGGCTGGTATTTCGGTAAGACAACAGGAAATCATTCAGGCGCTGCTGTAGGCTCCCTTGTCTTTGTGATGTCTTTAAGGCGTGTTTGATGGTTTGAACCATCCTTTCTGCAAGACCATTTGTGGCTGGATGGTACGGAGCTGATTTAATGTGTTGTACCCCACATTGTTGTAAAAATACAGCAAATTCTTGCGATGTAAACTGGGGCCCATTGTCACTGACGAGCTGTTCCGGGTAGCCAAAATGGCTAAACATCTCTCCCAGTTTCACTACTGTTTTCTCGGCAGTTGTCGAGTGCATGACAACAACTTCAGGCCACTTGCTATGGGCATCCACCGCTATTAACAACATCTTCCCTTCGACTGGACCAGCAAAATCCACATGTACACGCTGCAAAGGAGTTTCTGGCCAGTCCCACGGGTGTAATGGAGCCAATTGAGGGTCATTTCTCACTTGCTGGCAGGACGGACATGACTTTGCTTTTCCTTCAATGTCCCCCTCCAGACCAGGCCACCAAAAATAACTCCGAGCTATTTCCTTCATTCGCACAATACCACAATGGCCCACATGGAGCTGCTGGAGGACTGGTTTTCTCAACGAGGGTGGAATGATGACTCTTTGTCCCCAGAGAAGACATCCTGAATGAAATGAGAGTTCATTCTTCCTAGACAGGTACGGCTTCAAATTGATGGTGTCCTTAGGCACGTGTCCATCTTTTACCATCTCCATGACTGCAGACAGAATTGGATCGTTCCGTGTTGATCTTCTCACCTGCGTAGAGGTCACTGGAGCCACTGTAACTTGCTCAAAATAGAAATTATCTTTCTGCTTGCTCTCGGGACATGTCACAGGTAATGGTAGTCTTGATAAACCATCTGCGTTTCCGTGTTGCTCTGCCTTCCTATACCTTATTTCATATGTGTGTGCTGATAACAGCAGTGCCCATCTCTGCATTCGGCTTGCTGCCAGAGAGGGAATACCTGTGTGTGGCCCAAGAATAGTGGTTAAAGGCCGGTGATCAGTTAGCAGTGTAAACTGCCTGCCATACAGATACTGGTGGAATTTCCGAACACCAAAAATGATTCCCAAAGCCTCTCGCTCAATTTGCGCATATTTACTCTCTGCTTTGTTCAGCGTGCCTGAGGCAAATGCTATTGGCCTTTCCTCTCCTGAAGGCATGATGTGGGAAATCACAGCTCCCACCCCATACGGTGATGCATCACAGGCTAACTTCAGGGGAAGCTTTGGATTAAAATGGGTTAGCACACCGGACTTCACCAGAGCTTTCTTAGCTTCTTGAAAAGTGGTCTCACACTGCTGTGTCCATTTCCACGACTGGTTACGACACAGAAGTTGGTGCAATGGTTTCAACAATGCGGCCAATCCATTGACGAATCTTCCATAGTAATTTAGAAGGGCTATGAACGAGCGGAGCTGACTGGTGTTCTGTGGTGCTGGAGCCTCTAGTACAGCTCTTACTTTTGAAGGTGCCTTGTGCAGTCCATCAGCATCAATCACATGACCCAGATATTCAACTGACTGCTTGAAAAACTCACATTTGTCTTTTCTCACTCTTAAACCATATTCTTTTAGGCGCTGGAGTGTACCATCCAGATTACTCAGATGTTCCGCTTCGGTTTTTCCTGTTACCAATATGTCATCTAAGTAGCACTGCACCCCCGACAGGCCACTTAACACCTGGTCCATGGCCCTCTGGAAAAGCGAAGGGGCCGATGTGATGCCAAAAGGAAGACGCTGGTATCTGAAAAGCCCCTTGTGTGTAACAATTGTCAGCAACTCCCTAGAGTTCTCATCGACTTTCATTTGTAGGTAGGCTTGACTCAAATCAAGTTTGCTGAACCGCTTTCCCCCTGCCAAGCCAGCAAACAGATCATCAATGAGAGGAAGTGGATACTGGTCAGGTGACAGTATAGGGTTTACTGTGATTTTAAAATCACCACAAATTCGAATGGAACCATCCTTTTTAAGCACGGGTACTATAGGCGTTGCCCACTCACTGTTACTCACTGGTACAATGACCCCACTGGTTACCAGGTCTTCCAGAGCGGTCTCGACTTTTGATCTTATAGCATAGGGCACAGGACGGGCTTTACAACACTTCGCCTTACCATCAGGCTTAATGTCGAGCTTGGCTGTAATGTCTTTCAACGTGCCCAGTTCATCCTTGAAAACATCAGTATGTTTTCCTAGAACACCCCTGAGCTCTGTGTTTTCCCTTGACACCATCCGCACCGTCAGCCAGCAACACTGGGTATTTCCCTTTTACCACATACAGAGGCAGCGTTGCTGATTGACCATTTAATTCCACTTCCACATCCATTACTCCTTTTACAGTCACAGGCTCCCCCGTATACGTACGTTTTCAACACAATCTTGGATGGCTTTAAGTAGACATGTTTTAGGGTTTTGTGGTACACAGCATCTGATACGATAGAAACAGCTGCACCAGTGTCTATCTCCATACGCACTGGCTCTCCCTCAATGATAGGTGACACCCAATAACATTTGGAGTCTCGTTCTATAGCTAGAATGTTCAAAGGAACTTCCTCTGAGGAAGAATCAGTGTCTTCTGTGTACTTGCAATTTGACTGCATTGTATACACATTCTTCTTATTCTTTGATGTGCCAGGCATTTTTCTGAATTTTTGTGTTGCAGCATTTTGTTTTCCTCTGCAAACACGTTCTATGTGGCCTTTTTTCCACAACTGTGACACACCAACTCTTTACTCCAACACTCAGATGCAAGATGTCTAACTTTGCCACATCTAAAACATGTTACATTTGTAGGTACTTTGCCAAGGGACTTCTGGAATGTGCTCATGTCAGCAGACAATTTATAAACTTTATCTGAGCTACTGAAATGCTGTGCTTCTTTAGCAGCAAGTTCCATGCCTACACTTATTTCAGTGGCTTTCTGCAACGTGAGATTACTTTCACTTAACAGCCTTTTTTGAATGGCTTCGCTTCTTAATCCACAAACGAGCCTGTCCCTGAGAGTATCATTCAAAACATCGCCGAATTCACAGTGTTCAGAAAGTTTCTTCAGTGCAGCCACAAACATAGTAATAGTTTCTCCCTCTTCCTGATTTCTCTTGTGAAACCGAAATCGTTCCGCTATCACCAGCGGTTTAGGTGAAAAATGTGCGCTCAACACTGCCACAATTTCAGCATAAGTGCTCTCACCTGGTTTCCTAGGCTGTACGAGACTCCGTAGCAAAGTGAAAGTCTTTGCGCCCATCACACTGAGGAACGTCGGCACAATCTTCTCACCCTCAATGGCATTTGCCTGCAGGAAGTATTCAAATCGCTCCGTGTATAAGCTCCATTGTTCCACATTTTCGTCAAACTGTCCGATATTTCCAATAATGCCAGCCATAGCGTCATTCGAGTTCTCCGTTTTTCGGGCGTCCCAGTCAGCTGTTTTCTGCACTTCACTATATTTATATGCGGCAATTCAAACACGCAGAGGTTCTTTCAAAACATCCTCGTCGCCACTTTGTCGTGTCTTTGCCTTTTTATAAAGACAGAGAACAATAAAGAAGAGTCATAGACATGAATTCAGGAACGGAACAATTGCATGTCTTTAATGCTCACATTCATATCACTTTGTTTGCCGCACATCACCACGTCATCATCACATGACTTCATTCAACACTTATGTCTTAAAGTGACAACGCTTTATACATAACCGCAGGGGTAAACATATAAGAAGTTTAAAACAAAAACACTAGATAGATTTGTAGCTATCATTATGATGATTGTGTACAGGCACTGCCAACACGCATTTCAGTACAATCAACTTGAAAAAGTGCATGTACCATTATATGACCCCTTTAAGATAATGAGCAAAACTGTTTCTAATTTGCATGATGTTAAGCCTTATGATTGGTTCTCATAATGAGATTGTGTTGAAGATTGAGTTCAGAACAGAAAGCAATGGTGATACAGTAGCTCCCTCTTCAAGTCAGTTCTCGAGAAGTCATAGCCTAAATTTACTTTGATGGAGTTAAGACTGTAATTAAATCGCTAATCATAATTGTTTTCTGGTTCTCCTGCCCCGTTTCGGGGATCCTGGGATATTTATGGGATCGTTGTAATTGCTAAACACATGCTGCCACTCGAGGAACTGAAAATTGGCCAATTTCGAGGAGCCGGGGTTATTTTTTTCCCCCTTGTTTGCCTCTGATTAGCTGCCAGCTCAAACTGCCCCACAGATTCATGGGAACGGATGACAAATAGATGATGCAAGGTTTTTTTTTTTTTTTTTCATGAATGTAAGCCAGGTATCTGCTTCCTTCATTCTATCTCACCCAGCAGCTCATTTGCATCTTAATTTGGAATTATAATATGCACATTATGGAAAATACTGGTGCTGCATGGTGATATTTTGCATGCACCCACAATGCACCTGGAGTTGTTTTAATTGAAGGATAGTTAGAGGCACTATCTGCAGATAAATAAAATACTCTATCTAAATTATTAATAATAATAATACAATTATAATTTTCATGAGCAGAAACAAAAAGCATTCACCAACCATGCACGCACACTAAAGGTCAAAGTCACTGTCATTTAGACTCAGTGATACTTCCATTAACACACTGACCTGCAAGTCTGGAAAAATTAACAATGGGAAATAAGTACTAATCTCCTTAACAACCTTGCTGCTTTGAGAGACACTTGTAATCATGTAGGCAATTCAGGCTCACAAACAAGTGAATTAATGTAGATTTGCAAATAAGTTTGGAGCAAAATGAATAGGTTTGTGTTGTCTGTCAGGTGTGCGCTTGGATGTGTTTGCAAGAGAGAGTGCTGGTTTCGGCCTGTTTTAATTTAATTTTAAGCAGTTTACGGCCTGTTTATACATGCCGAGGGGTGTTCGTTAACAAAGGCTGGTTTAGCGTTTGGGTAACACTTTATTTGAAGGGGTGTGCATAAGGCTGTCATGACACTGTCATAAACATGACATAACACCTGTCATGAACATGAAGGAGTCTTTATGAATGTTTATGACTGTAGTCATTAAGTGTCATTCGGTAAATTATGACACTTTTAATGCAGAGTTGACATTGTTTGAAATGTCTTTGTTATGACAACTTGACATTAACAAAGACAAAAATGTCTTTGTCATGACAACTTGACATTAACCAAGACAAAAATGTCTTGATTATGACAACTTGACATTAACAAAGATAGAAATGTCTTTGTTATGACAACTTGACATTAACCAAGAAATTATAACTAGTCCAATGTCTTCCACTTACTTGAGGACAAGTAAAATATTCATGTCTCAGTTATAATGGTGTCATAACAAATGATAGGGTAATGTAAACATTACAGGTTAACAGGTTATGATTTTTTGGTCATGTTATGATGTCAAGTTGTCATAACCAAGACATTTTTGTCTTTGTTAATATCAAGTTGTCATAGCAAAGACATTTTAAACAATGTCAACTTTGCATTTAAAGTGTCATAATTTACCGAATGACACTTTATGACAACAGTCATAAACATTCATAAAGACTCCTTCATGTTCATGACAGGTGTTATGTCATGTTTATGACAGTGTCATGTCAGTCTTATGCACACCTCTTCAAATAAAGTGTTACCAGCGTTGGTAACTGAGCCGGTGCCGGTATCAAACTATATGTAAAATAAATAAGCAGAGCAGTTCAACTAATCAAGATGATGAGCATACAATACTATTACTGGAGACTATAAAGAAAAGAAGGGGTGTGTTTGGAATAGAATGCTAATGTTTGGCTTTTTGCACACTGCAGAAAAGGCTTTGTGATTTCTTTGCTTTGAAAAAAAGTCCAGTGAAATAGGATACGCAACAATAAACATTGTAAACTAGATGGTGGTGGACCTCACTTTATCACAATTATTGTGCATAAATTAGAAAAAAAAAAATTCAGCAAGGACACATTAAACTGATTAAAGGTGACAGTTAAGACATTTAGAATGTTATACAACATTTCTATTTAAATTTTTGAAAAGACTTTAAAACAAAGTTTATTAGTTAAAGTGCCCCTATTATGCTATTTGTAGCCCTCAATCGGGTCATGGGGTCTATACGACCCCAATCAACTTTTACTTAATAAAAAAAATTAAAGTTTCCCTTCAGCTCAGTGGAATATGATTTTGTGACTTCATACATTATCTATCTATACACACACAAAAAAACGTCTCTGGTTACGCATCTATGTAACCGCTATGGTAACGCCCCTGCGTGATGAGTCATGAAGCACGTATGAAATCAGTCCAATGGCGAGACGGAACATCATAGGCGGGTTGACATACCGACCAGGAAACTATAAAGCACCCTAGAAACACAAGCGCAACAGCTTCTTATAAGACTGAAGCAAGTGCTCACGGGCATGCTGGGAGTATGGCATGGACACGCAGCGTCTCGTTCCCTTCAGGGAACTAAGGTTACATGCGTAACCAGAGACGTTCCCATTCAGGGAACTTCGAGCTGCGTGTAACGCTAATACCAACAACGCCATGCGAGCAGGTGTCCGTTGTATGAAATCAGAGCACACATTCTGACGAAAGCACCTGCTCCACTGGAGTGGAGCTAAAGTCAAGATGATAAAATTTTACAAATGTGTGCGGTGATGACCATCCTGCTGCATCACAAATGTCATTAATAGAAACTCCCGATAACAACGCCTTAGGCGGCCATACCCCTAGTTGAGTGAGCCCGGACAGACAAAGGGGAAGGCTGACCGGTGGACTCATACGCAAGTGAGATGGCCTCGACCACCCACTTACTCAACCTCTGCTTAGACGCGGGACAACCTCGCTTAGGAGGCCCAAAACAGACGAATAGTTGTTCAGATTTCCTCCACAGGGCAGCTCTGTGGACGTAAGCATCTAAAGCCCTCACAGGGCAAAGCAGATTTAGTTTCTCCTGGTCTGGTGTTAGAAATGGAGGAGGACAGAAAGCCTGCAGCACTATAGGCCTGATAACATTAGTTGGAACCTTAGGAGCGTATCCCGGTCTAGGGAGGATGAAAGCCTTCGCCATACCAGGAGCAAATTCCAAACACGAGGGAGAAATCGACAGCGCCTGAATATCTCCAATTCTCTTTAAAGAAGATATAGCTAGAAGGAAGATAGTCTTCAGAGTGACAAACTTCTCAGGAACCTCTTCAATGGGCTCGAAAGGAGCTAGACAGAGCCCCTCCAACACAACCGCTAGGTCCCAAGTCGGCACCCTCGTTCGCACTACTGGCCTCAGCCTCACGATACCACGAAGGAAACGAATTACAAGAGGATGTCTCCCGAGAGAAGCTCCACTCAAAGGGACGTGGTAAGCGGATAAGGCCGCCACATACACCTTCAGTGTGGAGTGAGATAACCCCGTGGAGAAACGCTCCTGAAGGAACTCCAGCACCGCCGACAACGGGCAGTTAACTGAGTCCAACTGGCGTTCTCCACACCAAGAGGTGAACATTTTCCACCTCAAGGCATATAATTTCCTCGTGGACATAATTTCCTCGTGGACGGAGCTCTGGACTGGAGGATGGTCTCCACGACCTCAGTCGAGAGACCTGATTCTATGAGCTGGGCCCCCTCAGAGGCCAAGCCCACAACCTCCACAGATCTGGGCGGGGGTGAAATATCGACCTGCATGCTTGAGATAGAAGGTTCCTCCTGACCGGAATCTCCAGAGGAGGACCCTCGAGAAGAGAAATCAGGTCTGCAAACCAACAGTAGACTGACCCCTTCCCGGCGAACCCTCTCCAGAACCCCTGGGAGCAGAGCAATCGGGGGAAACGCATACAGGGGTGACCTCGGCCACCTCTGTACCATCGCCTCCAGCCCCAATGGAGCTGGTGGGTTCAGGGAAAACCACAGCGGGCAGTGTGAAGTTTCCCTGGATGCAAATAGGTCAACTTCGGCACGACCGAAATGTCTCCAAAGGAGCTCCACCACCTCGGGGTGAAGTCTCCACTCCCTGGGCCTCGGCCCCTGCCTCGACAGGATGTCTGCTCCCTGATTTAAATATCCCGGGATATAAATCGCCCTCAATGACAGAAGTCTCCCCTGGGACCACAAAAGGATCTGGCGAGCTAGCTTGTATAATGGATGTGAGCGCAGACCCCCTTGATGGTTTATGTATGAGACCACCGACGTGTTGTCTGACCGGACAAGAACATGGTGACCTCTCAGGTCTGGGAGAAAATGTTTCAGAGCCTGAAACACCGCCATCATCTCTAGACCGTTTACATGCAAAAGAAAATGATGGTCCTGCCACAGCCCGCAGGCCGAGCGACCACTCATGATCGCTCCCCAACCCGTGAGAAAGGCATCCGTCGTTACTGTTACCCGACGACACGGAGCTCCCAGCACAGGTCCCAGGGACAG